GTGTCCTCTTTCCCTTTTTAGAAATAAATATGTGGTCTACACCATTTCACTTTATTATATATACTCAAACCTCAATCACAACTTTTATTTTTTCAACCATTTCATTAATAATCGTGTCAAATCAAACTAAGACACGTAAAACGGGACGGAGCCACGGAGGTAGTAGTATATAGTATGGGTTGAAAACCGTGAGAATGATGGTCGAAGATGTTTTATATACTTTAATCGTCCCTTGAAACTTTGCAAGATTTGACCGGCACAAGAATTATTAATAAAATAAAAACTGTGTGGTTGAAATTTTTGCATAGAAAAGAAAATTAACTGGAACCACAAATTCTTTACTCTAAACGGAAAGTGACCACGTTAGTTGGACATCCCAAAAAGGAAACTTGATAAAGTGTTAAGGAACGGATAGAGTATTTTTTATAATGGGTTGAATCTAGTGTAGAACGGGTAGAATAGTGCGCAGAGTGAGTAGAATATCACCAATGTAAATAAATTTTTTAGATGGTTCCTACCCGTTCTACACAGCCTACACTAGATTCTACCCATAATAAAAACTGATTAGAACAAATCATATTAAGTCAAAATATCTACCACAATGGTTTCTAGATGGTTGAATGAGTACAAATATCAATGTGTAGAGGGTTGAATGAGTAGAAGTAGAGGGTAGAATGAGTATAGTGTCTAGGAGTTGAATGTAGTTTTTAAGTACACGAGGTTTAAAAATCCATTTTTTTTTTCAATTTGAAAAGATAAAACTAAGAGTTTTTTAAATAAAAGATAAATTTTTTAGCACTTCATGGTGTTATTTTTTTGGCCAGTAATAAAACTCTTATCTAATGCACTATTGAATAAACCTACATAAAAAAGAGTTTTTTAAGCTTGAGTCCTAAAGATAAAATTTATATATGCAATGTTAGTGAAAAGTAACAATAATTTTTAAAAATTAGATCGATGTTGGTGATATTCAACTCATTCTACATCCTATTCTCCCAACTTTGCACTTGAATCTAATATTTTTTTTTTAAAAAATTAAAGTCTTAGTTTTATTATTATGCATAAATTGTTTTCCATTTTTTTTATTCAAATACCTATGATTTGAAGAGTCAAACATTTTGGTTTAAAATAAGAGGCCGTTTGGAAACACTGTTTTTCGACTTATTAGACTTATCAACCAACTTTTTCACCAAACACGTAATTTTTGTTTTCACTTCAGTCAGAACTTCATAAATTCTAGCAGAATCAGTCAAAACAACCAATTTTCGTGCTATCAAATGGGCTCTAAAGGAATTTGGAGTTTAATTTTGTTGTTGTTACCTAAATACGCGTTCTAAAAAAAGATATAATTACATATAACTGACTAAAATTTAGATTGTTTACAAAAATATGATTAGTGACTAAAGTAATAATGAAATTATAGTAACCTATGTTCAATTTTTTAATTTCAGTTACTAGGAGACTATATTGTAGTAACTATTACTCATATTTGTGAAAATTAGTTTTATTTTAGGTGTGTTTTTGAAAAAACGTCTTAAAATTTGAAAGATGAAAAGAACAATTAGATATGAATTTTTAAGCCTTTGAATCTATTTAAAAAAATGGATTGAAACCCTATGCAATTAAAAACTTCATTCAACCATCCTTGAAAGAGAAATATCCACTGGTGGGCGTAGCTCAACTGGTAGTGAGGAAGTGCCACAAGGGTTAGGGCTCGAGTTCGAATCCTGGCAACTGCGATAAGGGGTTACTATGCTAAAAAATGCATAGGGCCTCTGCAAGTACCGGGGACGGAGCCTCACTCTCTATCTGTCAGGTCTTACATCCTCCCATCGTACTGTCCGGTCGGTGTTGGGGCCTAGAACCCTCAGGAATGGGGTGTCATCCTTTTTTGAAAGAGAAATATCTAAGAGGAAAGACATACGGAGTATTTAGGGCTGCAGAGTTTATTCCCATTTTCGAATGGGCTGTCGTTGTTCCGTGTTGCATGGGTGCAGCCGTGCAGGTTGTTAGAAATGTCAGATGTAGGATCAAGAGACATGTCAACCACTATAATTCTCGGATGTAATGCTTCTTTTGTTTTTGTTGTTTTGGGTTCCTTCTCTTTTATTGGTTGAAAATAATTATAGGGATTGTGAAACTCCATTCTAATTGGTCAAAGATAAATGATGCGGAGTAGAAAATATATGTAAAAATAGCTACAAATCCAAAAAAAATCTTAGACAAATCGATAGTGATATTCTACCCTCTCTACACCATATTCTACCCATTCTATAGTAGATTCTACCCGTAATAAAGAAAATATAAAAACATCTATTGCGGGGGTCGGACAACTGCACAGGATCATTCCTCTCTCTCTCATTATTCTACCCATTCTACCCATTATACATTATATTCTACCTAGCCGTAATAAAAATATAAATAAGTATGTATAGAATGGGTTGAATACCATGAACATGATGATAGAAGATGTTTTATATTTTTTATCACGGGTAAAATATGGGTGTAGAATGGGTAGAATTTCACCGACATTGAATGACCGGTAGAATGGATGTAGAGTGACTAGCATATCACCAACTTTGCATATTTTTGGGACTAAAGATAAAATACCTCTTTTATCGGCAAAGTACTATAACTTTGCATACACGCATTCTATCATGTACTACTTATTCAACCCTCTACACATTGAGGTTTTATACTCATTCAACCATCTACAAACCATCGTGGTAGATGTTTTGAATTAATATTACTTGTTCTAATCAGTTTTCGAAATTAAAATCTTACTTGTATTATTATAAATCAGTTGTTTGCCTATGTTTTTGAATAAATAATAATGCAAAAAATAAATGTATAAGCACTATAAAATCAAAAACAAAAAACATGATTTTGTTAAAAGTATATACTCGGTGTACGGTTTCAGATTTTAAACTCTAAAACTAGAAATGCGTGCCTCTCTTTGTCAAAGAGAAGATTTTTTTTGAAGATATGTCAGAGAGAAGATAATGATTAAATAAAGAAGGCTCAATGCACTACTCCATATGTTTTTAAATGGTATCTGAACCGGTGGACGTAGTTCAACTGGTAGCGAAAGAGTATCACAAGGGATTTGAACCTGAGACTTACCTTTTGTGGCACTCCCTATATACCAGTTGAGCTACGCCCACTGGTTTCCCGTCCCAATTTGGTTTCAAAGAGAGTTTATAATTGAATCTTCAGATATTTCTAAGAAAATCATGTGTAAAACTGGCATCATATAAAAAAAATACAATGTTATGCATAACATTTTGATATATGTTTTGTAACAATTAGATCAAACATAAAAAATGTTATAGTACTTTGCAGATAAAAGAGGTATTTTAATCGTCAATCCTAAAGATTACATTTACGGAGTAATTTATACGGATCGGAGTATATGCAACATTGGTGATATGCTAGTCACTCTACACCCATTCTACCTATTCTACTGGTCATTCAATGTTGGTGATAATACCCATTATACACTAGATTTTACCCGTATTAAAAAATATATAAACCATCTTTTATCATCATGTTCATGGTATTCGACCCATTCTAAACATACTTATTTATATTTTTATTATGGCTAGGTAGAATAGGGTAGAATGGGTAGAATCATAGGTAGAATATTTAGACAGAGAGGAATGATCTTGTGAATTTGTCCGACCGCCACAATTTGAGATAGTTTCCGATGAAATCTTTTGATAAAAAATTGTTAGAATATTTTTCATTAAGGTATTATCCTAAAATTTTCACCTTAAAATTCGATCTCATTGATTAAGTTATCATTCAACTTTTATACACTCCACTTGATTATATTACTAAGAAGTTGTTCTCTTCGTCTTAATCTTATTACTTACTTCATATTCCTTATTCTTATTTTATTTAGATCAGATCAGAAAAATTCAGATCAGATCAGATCAGAAAGATTCAGATCAGATCAGAAATATTCAGATCAAATCAGACTAGATCAGAAACAAGGTGATCGAAAATGTTATTTATGTTTTCTTATTACGGGTAGAATTTAGTGATGTACAATAAAAGAATATGATGTAGAATGTAAAGAAATATGTATTTATGAATTTATTAGGGAGTGTTTGCAACAGCTTCTGCTTTAAAAAAAGCACTTCTGGAGTGATTTGGAAAAAGTGATTATTTGTAAAAGTTGATAGTGTTTGAGAAAAAAGTGATTTTGAAAAGTAAAAGTTGGTAGTGTTTGGTAAAATAAGTGCTTTTGGTGTATAAAAAGTGGAAAAGCACTTTTGACACGAAAGTCGAGAAAAATAAAAAATTGGTAGTGTTTGGTAAATAAGTGCTTTTTTAAACCAAAAGCTGAGAAGTGCTTTTTTTAAAGTGGTTGCAAACCAGCCTTTAATATGAAGCTATTAGGAGTTGAATACCAATTAGAGTTTCGCGTGATTTAAAAGAAAATTTATAATTGGTCGTTGGACCAATTATAAATTCATCACATTATATTCTATAATAAAGAATAAATTAAGAAGTTGTTCTGTTCATCTTATTCTTATTACTTATTGATTATTCTTATTTTATTCGGATCAGATCAAAGATAAAATTTATATATTCAACGTTAGTGAAATTTTACACTCTTGACATCCTATTTGATACGGAGTGGATTCTACATGTAATAAAAAAAAGTTTACGTATTTTTTAATTTCTATACTAAAACTTCGACCACTATATATATCACAAATCACAATTCTAAATAGATAAAGTTTTTTTTGAAATCAATAGATAAAGTTTTTTAAGTTTTAATAAACGCACAAATATAATTATTATAATCAATTTATTTGGTTCACACCTAAATGAGATTATTTGAGTAAATCAATACCGTATATAATTATACTTTCACATTTAATGTCATATTGTGTTACACACATACTCCGTACAATTTATTATAATTTCACTACTTTAATAATACAAATACAATAATAATACTCTATAGTAGACTAATTCCTAGATGACGTTGACTGACAATTGAAAATAAAAACTAAAAACTACGGAGTAAATAACTAATTGTTTAAAAAATTAAGAAAAGTAAAAAGAAAAGACTGCGGGAAGCTTAAAACAGAAGACTTGGAAAAACGTGAAGGTCGAATTGGATCTGCGATTCTGTGCTCGCGGCTCGCCTGGAGAATTAGAAGACCTGAAACATGATTTCTGAAGATCTAATATTGAAGGCTTGAAGCCTGCTAGCCGAAGCTTCAACTCACCTGCTCCCTCAAGGTTAGCCGTCCAGCCGTCTCTAGCTCTCAGCCATCGTTCTACCTCTTTCTTCTCTTACTCTTCCTATTCTCTTCCCCAATTTTTGACAAAGTTGAACACCTCCAAATCACTGGTCATTATGAGAAAGAAAAATCCTTCAACTTCACTTCATGAAAACATTGAAGAAGAAAAATCAAAGGTATGTATTCATTTTCATAACTTTCTTTATCCACATATATATTGCATGAAGTTTCTCAACATGAACTTACTCAGGGGTTGAATTTTGAGTACAGCAAAGGTCAACTTTTATGCACTGCCGTATGCTCGAAAATAGGGTAGAAAACATGGGTCGAAAATAGGGTAGATAATAGGGTTCCAAAACAGGGTAGAAAATACATTAGATTAATTAGGGTTGAGCTTATAGGCTCGAAATTACATAGGACTGAACCGGATAACTCTTTATTAAATTAATAAAGTCAATAATAGAGTCAAAAGTACGGACAAAGTATGAGGAAAAAATATACTATCGTATGAGCTTACTTGCAGAGGGTAGAGTCTCCATGTTAGAGTAAAAAATTTGGGTCGAAAGTATTGGTAGAAAAGGTGGAAAACAGCAAGAACTGAAAAGTACTGGTGTAAAATGTAGTTCGAAATTATTCTATTCGAAGAATTTAGTAACATATATTTTGGTCGTAGAGGTCAAATAGGTAGAAACATTTTCTAAAACTACATTTAGTTACATATATTCTCATATGACTACTTTTCAATTTTATGTATAGGTTTTTGAAGTTCCTAAATTAGAAACCACTGTTCCTAATGATTATGTTTTCCCAAAGATGAAAATCGGTGTTAAGTCCTCCTTGGAAGGCTTTCAAGACAGGATGAAGACTGATTTAATCAATGACTTGGATGTGTTAGATGATTTTCGGAAAACCATATTTGGAGCATACTTAGACATTCAAGATTATGTCCATTCATCTAGTGTGATGTGGCAACTTCTAGTTAGAGAGTCTTCCACAAAAAGGGAGAAAGAGATGTGGTTTGTTGTTAATGGATTGCCCATTAGATATTCTTTGTCAGAGTTTGCACTTATCACAGGGTTGAAGTGTTCATTTCTCAATCCAAATTGGGATGACGCAAAAGTAGAGGTTGATGGAGAAAGTTGGGCATCTTTTGTTGAAACTCACTGGCCAGAGGCAATTTGTGAAGAAAGTTGTGATGTGGTAAATTATCATAGTGTAATAAATAGGTTCACACAACTTTGTAAGAATCTCCGCAAAGAAAAAAACGAGAATGCAAAAAAAAACGTGATTGCTATGGCGAAGTTAATGTTCGTAGTCATGGTATTGTATGCCAAGGAAGATAGGAAAGCACAAATTCCAGAGTGGATGCTTGCAAAGGCTGCATATAAAGAAGACTTTGATGCCTTTCCTTGGGGAACATGGGCTTTTATGCATTCTCTTAAGGTGTTGGAAAAGAACCTTTGTGGGAAGATGAAACGACTTGACGAAGGTGGCTCGAAATCTTTCACATATGGTGGATTTGTACTTGCGATACCGGTAAGAAAAATGTGAAAATTCTTTATTGTACTATTTGAAATCATGTTAGTGAAACTTTTGTCTGTGAATATGCAGATTCTTGTGTATGAGTGCATTCCATCTTTTGCTACTAAATTTGCAAGAAGGAGGTCTCAAATGATACCCCCCGTCCCACGCATTTGTTTATGGAAGACAAGGTTTAGCAAAACAAAACCAACAAATGTTGAGGTTAACGAGGCTTTGCTTTCTGTGACCGTAAGTATATGACAACATATATGCATAAAATTGGGTTGTGCTTATTATATTTTGAGTGTTGACCTTCAATCAATTAACTCAGGAATTACAAAGTATTCTTGTTCCGGATGAGGTGGAGACACGGGCAGAATGGATGAGCACTTTCCATAGTTTGATTAGTACCCGTCATGAAGCGATAGATGATTATGTTAAGGTGCTAGAAGAATGTGTGACCACCGTAAGTCTAAAAAGGTATGTCACCTTAAAATTAAGTCTTGTCCGGCTAAATTTCATAAATAACATTTTTCTACGTGTGAAATTGAATGATAGGGAACATAATTATGATACAAAGAGGAGCGAGAAGAAAATTAAGACTTCCTCACCAAAAAATGTACCCCTTGCGCCACATCTTGTAAAAGACACTGCCTCATCTCCATCAATTGGTGAAGGACCTCCAGTCCCACATGTTGGGTGTTGTCTTCAACCAAAAAGCATGGCCACACCTTCTGGACACTCTCACACTCATGATAGTGAGTCAGAATACCGCATAAAAGAGTATATCGATAAGAAGATTGATTTATTGAGGGATGAATTCAAAAGCAAAAATGATGTTATTATAAAACTTCTTGAGAAGGTATGTATTGTGCTTGCTTCTTTTAAAACAATATCACATATCATTGATATTGTAATAAATTATAATTATCCAATAAATGTGTTTGTAGCTTATTGCGAGGGGTGACGTGGTAGAGGTAGAGAAGGTTACCTCCAATAAAATCAGTGAAATGTCATCCATGAAAAGAGAGGTATGTTTGTATGGTGCACTTATCATAGTAAACTTTTAATCATTATAATTAATGTAAGATGTATTGCAGAATGTCGAAAAGGAAAATACGTTGGAGGATAATATGGTGGCGGATGACCTCGTGTTGGATGAACAAGACGTATGTCTTACTTAAAAATACTCCCTATTTTACTAACTTTTATGTGCATTACACTATTCATTAAACCGTAGGGTATGTAATGTAGTTCAATTTAAATGCAGCATCTTAGAGATGAAAATGTAGCCGGGGAACAAAGTAGCTTATACCATGTGCGTGGGGAGGAAGAGGTTGGAAAAGAGGTGAATTTTCAATTAAAATTTACGACACCACTACCTTCACTATAATTTTGGTCTATTTACTTTACTATATTACATTTAGGTATTGGGCCGTGGGCGTAGAAAGAAAGTTGAATCTAGTTTACTACACACGCCATGGACTCGGAATAATCCAAAAAAAAAGCCAAAACGGGTGATTTCGTTATCAACACCAAAAGAAGAAAAGCTAAGGTTTGTGGAGTTGTTAATACAACAAAGGCTAGAGCAGAAAGTTGGCATTGAATGTCACATGGAAGAAAGGTTTGAGATTTCTGGCATAGGGAAAAGATGGTGGACTCAATTAATCACACCTGGTGAATGGATAGAGACAACGGTAAGTTGGAGTGCTCAAACACACTAAATTTATGGAGTTGTTATATTTTGAAACTCACATTTGTTGTATTTCTTATTATTGCAGCATATGGGAGAGTATTTATATGTTTTGCGGAGACGAGCATTTTATGAATCTCATATAATGAAGATGGATACCTTTGTTTTGAATGAATACTTTAGTGCATGGTGCGAAAGAAGTCATATAACATATCCTGTCATTGGTGACCGTCTTGAGAAGTACATCAAAGGGGAGCTTAAAATTCCGTTTTTAAAACCTTGGACGAAGGAGATTCGGTCCGTTTATTTTCCATATAGTATAGATTCTGGACATTGGGTTGCGATTAGAGCAGATTTTGATACAGGGTGTTTGACTGTGTTTGATTCACTCAAGTCACACTGCACGGACAGTTATCTTGATATTTTGTTGAGTCGTCTTCGAAGGATATTTCCTGTTTTAGCAATGACTTCTGGACTCGACTCACATACAATGACTACAAAGCCAATATGGGATGTGTGTAGACCTTGTGTTCCACAACAGACAACTAATGATTGTGGTGTTTTTGCATTAAAGTTTATTGAACTTGATATGCAAGGTGTTGGATTTGACAGCTTGAAGGGGCTTCAGAGGGAAGATATGAAAAGACTTAGGTTACAAATTGCATATCACATTTGTAAGGAGATTAAAAACAAACCATAGTTTGTATATTATATGTATTTTATTTATTTAGTGAATGTATAATTACGATTTATGTCGAGTAGCTTTTATGTGCTTGATTATGTTACTAAGTATTTCTGAGTATTTTATATGATTGAAATTATCATGATGGTTGAAAATGGGTAGAACATGATGATCGAAAATGTTATTTACTACGTATGTTTTTTAAGGGTAGAATTTAGCATACAATGAGGTTGAATATCAAGGTGAAATTAAAAATTTAGTTTTTTCTATTCAATTTGTTTAAGAAAATATTTGGATTTCGAAACCACTTGCAATTAAAAACTACATTTAACTCCTACATAGTACATACTATACTCATTCTACCATCTACTTCTACTCATTCAAATGACTTCTGACGAACGTGAACAAAGCAAGAACACAGAGGAAGTTTTTGGAAAGCCAGAGTTTTTTGAGCTCAAACAATGTGAGTACGTTTGTGAGTGGTGTATCGTTGTAAATCACCTGCTAGCTACTTATAGGAAGGATTTGGAGGTGTGTTAATGGAGGTTTAATGGACATGAACATTGGGCGTTAATGGCCTTAATGCTGTAACATCCTGGCAGCAGCCGCCTACCAACGGGACTGCACCTGGAGCAGCAGCCTCCTGCCAACGGGGTTGCACTGGGAGCAGCAGCCTCCTGCCCGAACAGCATTCCAACGAGTGACTTCGAGAATCAATTTCTCATTCACCCGTTATCCGTTTTGAGCGTACCATATATCCGTTGGAAGGGAGAATGTCGACAATGGAGATGCTAAAGAAGAAGGTGCTGGTGATTGGTGAGCTATGTTGAACTCAAAGATGAAGGTTTGAACGTGTTCCAATGAAGTTCAAACTTCAAAGCATAGCTTGTTCGAACGCTTCATGGAGGAGAATATACGCTAGGAGAAGGGCATCCATCGGAAGAGAAGAAAAAGTTTGATTTGTGAAGGATGCCCCTAATAATAATAAACCTTATGAGGTCACTTTGATAAAAAAAATCTCTTTTAGGGGCATTTTAAAAATTTGTCCTGTAAACATGATATTGTTTGCATCTATAAAGTTTTACAAAAATATAAAATTTTAATAGCAAAACGTTTTCCGACCTACAATATTTGTTCAATTGATTCAAATAGTAAAATTAATATCTCATTGTTAAATTACTTTTTTATAGCTTCAACTGTTTATTTTGAAAATAGGTTTGAAATAACAACAAAATTAAACACTAAATGATATTTTGTTCATTCTACATCATATTCTACACATTTCTCTATTTAGAAACAATCACAAAAATGTATATATATATATCATTATAATACTAGTTCAATTTTATAATTACCATAAAATCAAACGTTAGATCATGAGGGAAAACATTTTTAACTATTACTTTAATGGTATTCTACCCATTCTTTAGTGATATTCTACCCATTCTACACAATCTTCTATCCATTCTACACTCATTCTACTTACTGTTGGAAAATGTGTTAGTAAATTGCATTAAATGGTCATTTTGGTGAATTTTTTTGAGTGGGGTCCACTTCCGATTTGGGTTGGGTCTAATTGGTTTTGGATTGTCCTTGCTAAGGGCTACAATTCGATACGTGGTACACTCAAAACGGATAACGGGTGAATGAGATATCGATTTTCGAAGTTTACCCGTTGAAATGGAGCAGCAGCCCACTTCCGGCAGGACAGTCCGCAGCAGCCTGCTGCCGGCAGGACAGTCCGCAGCAGCCTACTGCTGGGACGTCCGCAGCAGCCTACTGCTGGGACGTCCGCAACAGCCTACGTTTGTGAGTGGTGTATCGTTGTAAATCACGTGCTAGCTACTTATAGGAAGGATTTGGAGGTGTGTTAATGGGTGTTTAATGGACATGAACATTGGACGTTAATGGCCTTAATGATGTAACGTCCTGGCAGCAGCCGCCTGCCAACGGGACTGCACCTGGAGCAGCAGCCTCGTGCCAACGGGGCTGCACCGGGAGTAGCAGCCTCCTGCCGTAGTAGCATTCCAACGAGTGACTTCGAGAATCAATTTCTCGTTCACCCGTTATCCGTTTTGAGCATATTATATATCGAATTGTAGCCCTAAGTAAGAACAATCCGGAACCATTTTGACCCGATCCAAATCATAAGTGGACCCCGCTCAAAAAAATGCCCCAACATGTGACCATTTCATACAATTTATTAACGCATTTTCCAACAAGAAATTTGTAGAATAGGATGTAGAATGAGCATAATAGCATTTGGTTTTAATTTTTTTATTGTTATTTCGGACCTATTTTTAAAAGAAATAGTTGAAGCTATAAAAAATAATTTAACAATGAGATCTTAATTTTACTACGGAGTATTTGAAACAATTTAAAAAAAATTGTAGGTCAGAAAACCATTTGCTATTAAAAATTTATAATTTTTTAAACTTTAAATATGCAATGTAGAAATCATACTCCGTATGAAAGATCATAAAAAATTATGAATTTTGATATACTTTTCGTATAAGTAGGAGTACAAATAGAAAATACAAAATTGTAACGGAAAATGAGATTTTGCCTTTTCTTTCCTTTTGCGTAGCAAACTGCTGCCCCAATTCAATGAATGCAGCAAACATTGAACTCCCAACACTTCCCCCTTTTTCAACCCCTTAAAAACGTACGCGATGGTTTATTATCGAATAGATGAGTATAATGAATTAAAACACTACTTTTAAACTTTATATACTTAACATTGGTGTCATAATGAAAATCATAAACAAATTATGAATTTTAATATATCTCAAATAAAAATTAGATTACAAATAAAACATTATGTCATTTTAAAAGCAATGAGAGTTTCTTTTTTGGCTAGCAGTTTCCTCGTTTTGGTGATGAGCAACCTACTAAGCTGCTAGAGGCAACAACATTTTGTGTGAAAGGAATAAAAAGGGTAGGGCAGACAAAACATAATAATTTTTGTCAAGTATTATAGTTTTTTATTTGTAGTTCAATTTTTTCAAACAACATATCAAAATTCACATTTTTTTTATTATAAATCATATGATAGCAATATTACATATATATAGTTTTAACAACATTTCAACTTTCAATTGTACGAGCTTCTTAGACGCAATTGTTTTTAAATAAATTCAAGTGTTAAAATTAAAATCTCATTAAGAAATAAAAGTGACAAGAAATGAGTTGTAGATGTAGAACTTTAATTTGTTAAACTTCAAATATAAGTCTCTACCCCCGTTTCACTCTCCACTAACCATTCAACCCTCTACACATTCAACCCATTCAACCCTCTACACATTCAACTCATTCAACCCTCTACACATTCAACTATTCAACCCTCTACACATTCTACACATTCAACCTTCTACATTAACTCATTCAACCATGTACAAATTCTACCCATTTAACCATGTACAAAAACTAAAAATTTAAAATTTTAATTGTTAAATGTTTTTAAACCCAAAACTTTTCTTAAATAATTCAAGAGGTAAAATTAAGTTTTGATTACTTTTTTAAAATCTTTCCGTTATTGATTTTAAAAAATAGGTATGAATTAACAGCAATAAAAATTAAACTCAGAATTTTAAGAAAAGAAATAAGAAAAGAGAAAAATACCTAGAACAAATTTTAGGTAATTTTATTATGCGTCTTCATCATGGTTCTTCATCATTGTTCAAGTTTTTTTTCGGTATGAAGAGAACGCAGAAATCAAAGAAGACGAGAATCCAAATAAACTTATTATTTCCTCCCAAAAATAAAAAAATTCATCTCATTTACACAAAATCCACTAAAACTGTTCTGGAAATGTTAAAAAAAAAGATGATAGAAGAATCTGGAATTTCATATTCAGATCTATTCCGGATGGGAGCTTGGAGCAACCGACCGGAGCCATCCACGTCCAGCTGTGTGTCATGGACTTAAGCTTGATGTCCACTGAAACTCCCTACACCATCTCCAGATCTCGCCGCCGCAGAGCTGCCGTCGTGAGTTGAGTTTGTCGTGCTCCAGGTACGGAAGTTGCGGCCATTAATGGCCGCCTTAGAGCTCGTGAGAGAGACGGCGGCCATCAGATGGGAAGGGACGACACGATGATGATGTAGCGCAGGTCAAAACCCAACGGAGTAAAATTGATTTTCAAGCCATCCACCATAGACAAAGACAGGAAATTGTAACCCAAAAAAGAATTAAATTCTACTACATAAATATTTGAATTTGTAGTAGAATGCTCTTCAATGGAGAAAAGTTGCAGGGAAATGAAAGAGAAGGAAAGAAAGAGAAAGAAAGAAAGAGAAAGTGGAAGAAAATTGACTTGACATAAAAGAAAAAATAAGCTAAAATGAAAAATGTATAAATTGCTAAGATGACCCTGGATTTAAATGTAAATGCCAATGTAGAAAACAAAAGAATGACATGGTTAATGGGTACAAATGGAGCAATATTAGTGGTACACCTCACGGGGTACACCGGTGTAGGTTTTTTATAACCCACACCGAATGAATCGCCCCCCCTTAGAGGTAACATATATACTTTAATTTATTTCCTTCATTATCCCATTTTAATTAGTACTCTTCAAGTCAATGTTGTCATCTAAGTTAGACCAATTATATATTTATATACAGAAGTATTGATATATAATATGAAATGATATAAAAATGTTCTTTGTTAAAACACTATTATACCATTATAAAATTATTAAATTTTTCACAATATAATTATACTAGTAAAATTAATTGATCAAAGTATAAAATAACTAATATATATTTAAATGTTTAAATATACACTAGTATGAATCTCTAAAAATTAGGTTGATTTTCTAAGCTTTGACTCCTGTGATATAAGAGTACGTACATTATTATATTGTGCATTTAATTCATCATTATTAAATAATTGCTCAAATATGGTTTTGATTGGATTAGAAGTATATGTATAATATATGTAGTAATCTTCCCGTCAAGAATTTCCTAACCGGAGCGCCGTCCGGCCACCGCCGTTTGGGGCGGTTCCCGGTGGTATTGTTTGCTAATTTTTTTGAGAACGTTCCTTATCAAGTCTAATTTATTCACAAAAACTTTCAGCTAAAAATTCAATCAGAAAGGCAGTCAAATAATTTTTTGAAGTTAACTGCGCCAAAATATACATATAAAACGCAGTTATCTTCACAAAATTATTTGACTACCTTCCCGATTGAATTTAAGGTGAAATGTGGTGTGGATAAACTAGACTTCATGAAAAAAAATACATTAAATATTTCAGCAAAAAATACCACTGGGAACCGCACCAAATGGCGGCGGCCGGATGGCACTCTAGTCAGGAAATTCTTGACCTGAATATTTGTGTGTGTGTATATACTTGTATATAATGAGAAAAAAGTGTATATATGTATATTCTTCAATTCATTCTAATAAAGTTTTATATTAAGTACTCTAATTTTCTCCTCGTGGCAGTCTGGATGTTGTCTTCCACCTCAAAGTTGTAGCTTCACTTTCGTGAGCCCAACAAATTGGACAAGCAATCAAACATCATCATCTTTAGGCGACGATTGTTCAAGGTGGAACAATGGTCAACTTTGCTTTAATTGCGATTCTTGCAAAGCAGCATTACTAGCTCAATCCAGCAAAATTGTGGAAAAAATAGGAAAACTTACATTTGGTGTGAATATGGTGTGTAGTCTGTATGCTCTTTACTTCATTTTGTTCAAGTTGTATGTGCACCACTACCCCGACCCCGATGATATTCAGCCTTAGGCATGGTTTTGGACAGTGGCGGAGCCAGAAATCTATGGTTAAGGGGGCCGGTCCTTAAACATTTTACATTGCAGGGGCCAAAGTTTAAAATATCAACATCTTTTCTATATATTAAAAGTATTTATACATAATACGAAGTATATACTTAAGATTTTTTTCTTGCAGGGGCCGAGACCCCCTCCAGCCCCTCTCTATCTCCATCCCTGGTTTTGGAGAGTATATGTACTTCATCACACTCCAGTCTTTTCATATTTTGTATACACAGTTTTTGTACTCCGTAATTAATATGATTATCATTTTTGTATGCATCTTATTTAGATTTGTGTTTGTTCTTTTAAGCTTATCTTATCACTAAACATGTTAAAACTTGAGCGACTTAATCAAAATAAGGTCCTAATAAATTGACCTCGATGATAGATGAGATTGAGATAACGATGATAATCAATAAGGTTGACATCTAGCATACACCATTTTTTAGTGTAGTTATCTCAAAACTACCAATTGAGTACTTGGAGTTTCATGACGGTTGCATAGGTACTTCAGAAAATATTTGAAATGTCACGTCTGAATCGATTGATCAGTGAAGTGGCAATAAAATTCTCCATTGCCCTAAGAGAATGCCTATCGCTTGAGCATTGATCAATCCTTAGTGGCAATCGTCATTTGTAAAAACGCGAAGTGATGTACTCACTCTTATACCCACCTTATACCCACCATGTTTGTGAAATGTTATTTTTTGTTTGTGAAATCAGTTCATAAACAATATTTTGTTTGTGCAAAATATTGTCTATGAACCGGGGTTCACTGACAAAAAAAACACTTCACAAACATAGGTGGGTACAAAAGTAAGTATAACAGTGGGTACAAACATCATTTTTGAAAAAAAATTGATCAATCGAAAAAGGTGTCACGCCTTATTTGGATTGATCAGTAAAGTGACAATCGTCATACCACTCATCAGGTGTTTTCCCAAAACACGGAAAAAACTAACATGAGTAATGTTGACTGTTGCAATTAAAAGAGAACGGAGGAAGTATTATGAATACATAATACGTAGTACTACCTCCGTCCTACTAACATCGGGACAAAAGGGGATGACCCGATTATTTAGAAACGTTAGTTTATGTGATTGATATTGAATTAATAAAGTAATAATAAAGAAAAAATGATTTAGAGTCACACAAACTTTACCAAATTTGATACTTCACATGTAACAATTTTAGTGGGATTTAGAGTATATTTTATTGCTACATACGGATTATTTAATAAGTATATACTCCATATTATATACTCTGTAAACCAAGTTTCCTTATGATAATTAGAGCATCTCCAATGCTACAATGTGCACGATGCACATGCATGTGGGATGAGAGATAACCACATAAATATTAGTAAATAACTTTGTCGGATTTGTCGATTCCGACAGGAGATGTTCCACGAAAAAATCTAACCCTACTCCTAGTCGGAACATCCAATTCCGAGTCTCTTATTTTGGTAACCTAGTTGTATTTCCCGTATTTTGACGTGTCAATCCAAAAAGTCCCGCATTTTGGTAATTTCCCGATGGATCGGAGGAAGGGGAGGGCATAATATGTCACCCACCTGAGTTCTCTTTGGTATGAAATTTGCTCTTTGTAGACACTCTTTATACGTACACGATCATACACACTATAAAAAGAGAAAAAATTACTCGCTTGACTTTCAAAATTGCTCTTTGTACACTATAAAAAGGGGAAAAATTACTCTTCTCTTTTACCCCTTTTCTTCCCCTCTCATCTACTCCCTTACGCTCCCCCCTCTTCTCTCATCTACTCCCTCCCTTATGCTTAGGGGTGGGTTCGTGAAACCGAAAACCGAATAAAAAGAACCGATTGGGCCGCATCGATCAGTGGCGATAATTAGACATTAGTGGCTCAATGCTTCAGTGTAGTTAATATCCTCACCTTTTAACAATGTAAGTCCCCTATAAATAGGTCATCCCTTGCATGTTGATATCTTGCATTCTAGAAACCGATCAATCGAAATGGGATTGAAGCTGTGGAACAAATTAAAGGTTGCAAGTTGCAACTTGTTTGGAAATGAATCTTGCAACTTGGGATTAACGCCCAATGGATTTCCACTCATTTTTCCCTATATTGCATTTTCAATTACATGTCTGGAAATGAATTGAATTGAAAGACCATATATAAAACATGTTATACAGACAAAAAAAGTTAATTGGCATGAGTTACGAAAGACGAATAGAAGCTCAGCTAAAAAAGAATTTAGTATGGAGTAATAGTGTATTTTTCTTTTCATTTTTGCATTAGAGTTCCAGGAGCTCTATTATTTCATTAATTAATTTTAATTCCCCGATTTCAGATGTCTTACTTTTGGTATTGTAATAGATGTTACATTGCGAATTGGGACTCTTACAAGGAAAACAAGTTCTATTACACACACACTTAATTTGAATTTTATGAATGTATTCAAATTTTATATATTGATTTTATTTTTAGGTCTCTTTCCTTTCTTTATATTTCGAATTAAAGGGCATTTTCTAATTAATGACAGAAAGGAACATAGACTGATTCCGGGGGTAACCTGATGTCGGGGATGATCATGGCTAAACACATGAAAATTATTTAATTGAGCAACGCATGTCAATACTAAATTCTTACCGCTCTCATGATTTTCCTGTATCCCATTTGTCTTTTGTTGATAATATTCTCATTTTTATTAATGGGGATGCTAGATCTTTACAAAATTTTAAGAAATTCTTGGATCTTTATCAAAGAGCTTCGGGGCAAGCAATTAATTTCAACAAAAGTAATTTTGTTTGTGGCAAAACTTCCCTGGTAAGGATAAGAAAGATGGAAAGGCTGTTGGGCATGAATCAGACCAATTGGCCTCTTAGATACTTGGGAGCAGTCCTGCACAAGGGGTAATAACAGAATCAACTATTGTCACAACATCATTGAAGCTTTTGATAAAAGGCTATCAACCTGGAAACAAAGACATTTAAATCAAAGTGGGAGGCTTATACCAATAAAGCATGTGAACTAGGCTGATCTCTCATGCGACAAATTCCTAAATTATTGCCAAAACGAGCGAGCGTACAGCTCCCTAACCGTTATTAATCTCTAAGCGAATGATTAAGTGTGTGTGAAAGTGTACGTTCTAGAATAATTTAGATCTCTCTTAAATTATTCTATGTGCAATTATAATCATAGGGTCGTTCCAGGTTACAAAAATATCAATTAAATTATTCAAACACAAATTAAACGATTAACAAGTAATTAAACCCTCAAGAACGAACCCTGGATCATGATTAATACCCCCTTCATCAATCACATATCCTTTATTAAATCTACTCACAATGCATAATTGAGAGATCAATAGAATTGAGAAGAAAAGAATTAATTGTCATTAATTAAAAAAGATAGAATTTACAAATAATCCCATAATATTAAAGATCCAAGGTTGAAATGATCTCAAAATTTCGTCCTAGGCACTCTCTATAAGCTCCCTCAAAACAGGGGTTTACAGGGTGTTTAAATAGAAAATGAACCAATTCTAGTTGAAAAAAGACCTTTATAGCCGACGCACAGTGCCACGCACGGTGTGCGTGTCTCCCGTGCGTCTGGAGCACCCTGAGCGTAAAAACCGTTGCACACGGCGTGCGTTTCTCGGTCCTGTAGCCTTTCCGAGATTTCTTCTTTCCGCGCACGGCGTGCGTACTTCGGCCGCATGTCATGCACATCTCCTGTTCGAATTTGAC